CCGTAAAGAGAGCAGGGGATTATAATTAGAGAGAGTTATTCGGCCGTGGCGTGTAAAATTTCGTTTCGTTACGTCCGATTAATGGAGAATGGGGGGTGGAGAGGAGGAGGGAGGAGGATCGATCGTATCGAGCGGGGCGAAAATTTGATCGAAATTGCGGCCGTTGGCTCGGCCGCGTGGCTGTCCTTTTCGTTTCGAAGAGACAACAATAGCCCAACTCCCAGTGGCGTCTTTTGTCTACCCGTCGTTGATTCGGTGCGCTGCCATTACGAGATCCGTGTATCTCGCCTCGGATTTCGTTCCGTCTCTCCGAAAATCCCCAATGGAAACGTTCTTCAATCCGATGTTTAACGGGCACAATGCCTCTACTTTTAACCCCTCGCGCGCATCTCGCTTCTCTCTCTTTCTATCTTTCTTCTCCTCGCCTAATGCATCGCTCTCTCCTCGTTTCCATACCATTCTTTCATCTCTCACCGATCACTGGTGTCCAATTTGTCCAAGTAAGTACTTTTGAATTTTTATTCGAGTTCGAAATCATACCATAAATAATGAGAAATTTCGCAAAATTCAAGTTGATTCAAAATTAAGAAGCGGAGAAGGTGGCAAAATTGCATTGGTTTTGAAAACAGAGAGAGAGAGAGAGAGAGAGAGAGAGAGAGAGAGAGAGAGAGAGAGAGAGGAGAGGAGAAACGAGGGTGCACGAAAGCTCGAGTTGTCCGGAAGCTCATTACCCAGCGCGATCTTCTAATCTTGGATAAACGAGAAGAGGAAGGTATGCAGTGATGATAGTTGGAGGTTAAACGTAGACTTGGTAAGGTTCGTTCGATCCATTTCTTTAAAAAGCCCGCCAGCCAAATTAAGAAACGGAAGTAGGGCCGTGCGAGCTCGTGAAACTGCTCTTAAACGAAATTTCGAAAACTTTCCCACCTGTTATGCTGATATTTTACCTCGTGTTCTCGTTTCCTTTTCTTCGAAGAAAATTTTTAATCATCCTCAGATTACCGCAAGGATAATATTTGAATAAAGAAAGGTACGTTTGATTAAATTTTTGTAAAAATCGATAAATAAAAGTCCCAAATTGAAAAATTCAAGAGTATAGCTAAACTAGACGAGTATCCTCCAAAAGAAATGTAATGTAAGTGTAAGTAAATACGAAAAATCGATTTATTTCGTTTCGCCGTTGTTCGATTTGCAAAGTAAATAAAAAGCGTATATCGTAGCGATGCTACGAAAAGATTAAAGGCCCTCTGATTTGGCGAGCGGTCGCAAAACGCGACGTAACGCGACCGAGCATTTTTGAATTCCATGAAAAATGGGTTAACGTAGCCGCCGGCATCGGAGATTCGTTTGAAAAGAGAGAAATGGCGCTTGCTCCGCTGAGTAAAGCTTCTCCGCTTTATATCGCGCGTTATCGTCACTCGAGACACGAGAAAAACTGCGACCGGTTAACATTTCGAGGTCTGAATCTTTTCCTTCGTGCCAGGATTCGTCGATTCTTCTTATTTTTCTTTCTACGCTATGACCGCTACCGCGTAATATTTCGATTGCTTGTATATCATTATCTGTATCGCGAGAGAGAGAGGATAGAGAAGAAAATATATTAAAGTTGTTTCATGGTAAACGAATACTTGTAACGATATAAGTTGCAGCGTAAGCGTTGAATTTGCAAACGATAATTCTTTTCGATTACGATTCTTTGCGCAACCATGGTTCGAGAATATCGCGAATAAATAAATCAGAGACAAATCCTGTCCTTGGAAAATGCGGTTACTTATGGAACTAATGCTGGAAGAGAAAAAAAACGTGGTTAATGAAAATGAAGGTAATCGCATGGCTGATTCTACACCGATGCATCACCTGTTACGTGGCAACAGGTGGTCTTTTGTCGAAATGAAAAAAACGGGTATAGTTTTTTAACGACTTTCCACTCGGTTCTGAAACGTCAGGCCGGGAAATTTAGGACACTTTTTCTCTTCGTAATTTCTACGATTATCGCATCCGTCGCATTCCAATTAGTTTCGCTCGTATCAACGTCAAGAAAATTCTTTAAAAAGAAAAAAGGAAAAGAAAAAGAAAATAAACGTAAATTCGTCGCATTTTTTTTTTTTTTTTTTTCATAGTTTTTATTCTCCCAACGGACGGTAAGTACGTACGTATTTTGGTTGCGCAACACGGTCGTTACAGAAGATTTCGATTTGTCCTTGCGGACATGTATCGAGATTCTCCGCGCACGAATCGAGCGGCACGCAATATTCGACAAATTAAAGTAGAGGATATACTCGTGCATTTTCTCTCTCGAGTCGAATAAAAAGTGGCAAATCGCTCAACGAACGGTGATCCATCGATTGATAGTTGAACGGTGGTATAATGGCCACGTTTTATGCGAGTAACGTGCCGGCCGGTGACCAACGCTGCTACAGAAATACGTCTATTTGCGTGGCCGGTCACGTGACGAATTTGCGCGCGACGTAAAACGCGGAACGATGTCGTTCCCGATCCCAATGCGTTCGGAATCCGAGTAGTTTGCCTGCAATTGTTTTTAAGAGTCGAATAGCGTTTTATCGTTAATTCGTACGAAGCGAAGAAAAATTTCAAAGGTCTTTCTCTTCGAAACTTGATATTATAACAACAGTTACCATGCAAACGACCAGATCTCGTTTTTTTTTCTCTCCTGTCCCGTTCACGTTGGAAAAACGAATTTTCTGCCAGATAGAAACGGATGAGCGAAATTTGTCGCTCGATTAGAAAGATAACGAGTCGTTCATTACGATATTGGAGATAAAAATCGGATTGTTACTCGGTCGACAATTTCGTCCCAAATTAAAGCTGAATTTACACTTTTTCACTTTGAACGTTCATCGCGAATAATTTATCTACATGAATCCGAAGGAAGAAAGTTGGAATAATTATACTCGTTCAATGATCGAAATCAATTCACTAATTTTTAATTCTTTATGCACGAATTTATTATTCCAAAGATGCTCGTCATTTCGATACGTCTTCAAAAATATTTTCATGCTTATTAAACTTTGCTGGCACAATTATTCGACAAAATTGCGCGTTAAACAGCTGTTCATTTATTATTAAACTTAGTTTAAACCTGTCATTGTCACTCCACTACAATTACCCATTTATCAAAAGCAAAGCTCTATTTTGTTCACTATGGATGAAAACTTTATATCTTTCGTTATGAATCATTCAGGATCCATATCCAAAGTGAAAAATATAAAATTTTAAATTCGCCTTAAAGAATTTTTCGATCCCGTCAAATATTTTTCTCTTTATTTCCAGCTTTTCGAATTGGTATAGATGTTTGGAATAGATGTTATCACTTTCTTTCGAAAGTGAATCCCGACAGAGGGATGATTCGGTGAGAAGTAAAGCGCGCGTAACGCGAAATAAACCTCTGTACAAGATAAAATCGTGGAATCGATGGATAACTCTGAAGGGGGGGGCTCTAGTTTCGTTGGGAGACGTTGAACGGAGAATAATGGTTACGCGTCACGAACCGGTGCAAACCTCCGAGAGTAATGGAAGCTCGGATTAATCTTATGCAAAACATCGAGAAGACTCGACCGAGTCTGCCTCTTTTTTCTCTTTTATCTTTCGATTTCGTTTATCCGGTCAACGTGGGCCAACGCTACTGAATTTCACCGACAAAATACTTTTATCCGCTTATACGATAAAAGTAAACCACGTGATATCGTACTTTTTTTTTTCTCTTCTTTCTCTTTTCCTCTTCTTCCTTCTCTCTCCCCCCTCCCCTTTTTTTCACTCCTCTATTTAATCAAGATTTTTTTTCATCGATGCGTCAGTTTGTTCTTCGATTGCGATCGAAGGTAAACGTTTTTTTCTTTCTTTCTCGAAGACGAAATTTCTCTTACGACCGATCAAACGAGAAATTGCCAAGTAATTCGAAGGAGAGGGGCGGATGGAAAGACTGTTATTCTTCTCGAATAGAAGACCAACTTTTCGAGCGCGAGGACTGATCTTCTTCGAATTATTATCATCGAAGAGGTTTTATGATCGCTCGCCTCGCCAAATTATTTTACCGAATCTTTGCGCTCTCGATCCCGATCGAAACTAAAACGGATCCGTCGTTTGTCACGTACGCGTTTCCTCGAGATGTCGCAACATGTTTGACGACGTATTTATCGTCGTGTAAGGCGAAAAAAAGAAAATATTACGACGGGTCGTTTTTCGATCCGACGAGGATATTCCTTTGAACGGGAATGAAAAGGATGGAAGTGGTTCGTTTTCTAAAGTGGTAGGGAAGAAGCAACGGCAGACGATGGGACTCGGTGAAAGAGAAACGCGATAACAAAGCGTCGCGGGCCAATCTGCATGCCCGGGAAACGGTTTCATCGGTGAAAAGGGATCGGGAAAAGTCCTTCTCTCGTGCGTGATTGTATTTCCTCCCGTTGGGAACAAAGGTGGTAGGAGGAAGGAGAAGGAAGATAGGGACGAAGGGACGATCTTGTCGGACAGTTTGGACTTTCGTATCGGGCAGAGTAGGGGGGGGAGGAGGCACCTCTTCGCGGTTAATCCTTTTCAGTTTCGATCCTCTCCACGCATGGTCGTCGCTCTAATTGGCTATCGGTTGAAGGAATTGGAGAGGTCGAATGCCAACGGAATATACAAGCGTCTCGATATCACTCGTTTATTCGTTTCGATCCGTTTTGATATATATATATATATATATATATAAACTATATAGAAGGATAAAAGGATGAAAAGCGCGAGAGAAAAAAAAAAGAAACGACAGTGAAACGATAAAAGGGAAAATAATGGAATGGTTGTTGTTTCGATGTTTTGCAGATGACAGTGGTACAGCGGGCAACGACGACGGGGTACAGTTGGTAGTGGCGTGGAGAGCGCACCGCGTGAGAGGAGCGGAAGATAACCCGGAAGAGGCGGGTGGTGAAGAACGAGGGAGGCGGAGGAGGAGGAGGAGGAGGAGGAGGAGGAGGAGGAGGAGGGGGAGGAAGAGAAGGAGGAGAAAGAAAGAGGGAAGACTGGCGGAGATAAGAAAACGGAAGTGGGAGAAAGGGAAGAAAGTAGGCAGCGGGAAGGGGAAGGGGAGAGGGAAGAGAGGAGGAGGAGGCCGGTCTCGTAGAGGGGCATCGTCCACGGATTTTCCGGTAATCGGGGATATCGTCGAACTTTGGGGGGCTGCGAAGGTCGCTGATGTCCGCTACGAGCCCTGCCCCTACCCCTGCCACCAGCTCACCAACGGGACAACAACGGAGGAGGAGGAGGAGGAGGAGCGGAGAAGGAAGAGGATCGGACGCCGCGCCGCGACCGACGCCGAGGAAAGTCGCGTCACCACACCTTGCCTTATCCTTTGATCCGGGAAGAAAGAATATCTTTCACCAGCCTCGCCGACCACCACCACCACCACCAAACGTTCTCTCCATCCATACTTCGCTATTACTGCTGCTGTATCACCGATCAGCTCGACCACCCCTCTGAATGTCTTCGCACATCCAAAAGTCGTGCGTGGTGAGGATACTGCTTCACTTGCCTCTCTCTCCTCATCCCCTCTCCCTCGCTATTCCTTTCTTCCTCTACTAGAGATACAAAGAGAAACAGAACGAGAGAGGGAGGGGGGGGGGTTCGTCTCACCTAGAGAAAAAAGCAGTCTACTTTGTCTCTAAGTTTCGCAACTGTCTTTGTCTTTGATATCATTTTTCTCTCTCTGTCTCTCTCTCTATCTCTCTCTTTTTTTTTCTACTACTCCTCACCCTGTCGAAACATAATTTGCCATCGATTCACGAATGAAAATCTTTTCTCGTGAGAATTTTATCAAGGTATCTGCTTAAGTTCGTACGAAACGTTTAACCGAAACGTGAGACGATAGATGGCGTTCGATGATTACGAATAGAAGAATAATCCGTTGTTTCGAAAAGAGATCGCTGACTATTCTCGATCAATTTCGAAGCTTTCGATTATTTTCGATTCACGAGTGAAACTTCTCTCGCGAGAATGTTATCAAGGTATATGGATAGTCAGACGCACGATCTCTCTTCGATTTTAAGATATCCGACTTGCTTAAATTCGTACGAAACGTTTAATCGTACGTGAGACGATAGATGGCGTCAAGAGTGTCACGTTCGATGCGATTGCGACGATTACGAATAGAAGAATAATACGTTCTTTCGTTTTCGCTGACTGTTTTCGATCAATTTCGATTGCTTTCGATTCAGGAACTTCTCTCATGAGAGTTATTAAGGTATATGGATAATTAAATAATATGGATAAACATGATCTCTCTTCGATTTTAAAATATCCGATTAGCTTAAGTTCGTACGAAATGTTTAAGCGTTAGATGATAGATGGCGTTTGATGTTTACAAATAGAAGATGTTTACAAATAGAAGAATAATCCGTTGTTTCGAAAAGAGATCGTTTTCGCTAATTGTTCTCGATTAATTTCGAAGCTTTCGATTGCTCTTGATTTACGAATGAAAACCTTCTCTCGTGAAAATTTTATCAAGATATGGTGAATAGTCAGATCTCTCTTCGATTTTAAGATATCCGATCTGCTTAAATTCGTACGAAATGTTTAAGTGTATGTGAGACGATAGATGGCGTTTGATGTTTATGAATAGAAGAATAATCCGTTGTTTCGAAAAGAGATCGTTTTCGCTAATTGTTCTCGATTAATTTCGAAGCTTTCGATTGCTTTTGATTTACGAATAAAAACCTTCTCTCGTGAAAATTTTATCAAGATATGGTGAATAGTCAGATCTCTCTTCGATTTTAAGATATCCGATCTGCTTAAATTTGTACGAAACGTTTAAGTGTATGTGAGACGATAGATGGCGTTCGATGTTAGGAATAGAAGAATAATCTGTTGTTTCGAAAAGAGATCGCTGATTATTCTCGATCAATTTCGAAGCTTTCGATTGTTTTCGATTCACAAATGAAACTTCTCATGAGAATTTTATCAAGATATGCATAGTCAGATCTCTTTTCGATTTTAAGATATCCGATCTGCTTAAATTCGTTCGAAACCTTTAAGCATTCGTGAGACGATAGATGGTGTTCTATGTTAGGAATAAAAGATCTGTTATTTCGAAAAGAGATCGCTGATTATTCTCGATCAATTTCGAAGCTTTCGATTGTTTTCAATTCACAAATGAAACTTCTCATGAGAATTTTATCAAGATATGCATAGTCAAATCTCTTTTCGATTTTAAGATATCCGACCTGCTTAAGTTCGCACGAAATGTTTAACCAAAACATAAGACGGTAGATGGCGTTCGATGATTACGAATAGGAGAGTTTCGAAAAGAAGCGTTTCGCTGACTGTCTCGACCGATTTTGGAACGTTAATGCAATACACGGTTCAATTTCCTTCCGCCACCTTGCGAGCAACACTCGCACTCGATGGATGCAAGTCTTTGGAAAACGCGCTACTCCAAATTCGCCCTCGAGTTGAGTCTCTGGAGTCGAGTGGCAGTGAAGTGGAGTGGAGTGGGGGAGAGGCGCAAACATTCGAATCGGGAAAGCGACACAACGACCAAGTTGCACCGTTCGGTGGAATTCGATTTGATAACAGAAGGAAGTTGATAGAATTTCAGCGAAAAGCTGTGACGAGCCGCGTGTATAAGAATTGCATTATTGAAAAGTTCCGATGTAAAAGTTAGGTATCGGAAATCCTTCACGCGCGACGTATCGAATTTCTCTCTCTCTCTCTCTCTCTCTCTCTCTCTCTCTCTCTCTCTCTCTCTCTCTCTCTCTCTCTCTCTTTCTGTTCGTTCTGTCGGTTTCCGTTACAGGGTCACGGTTATACTCGTTACTTCGTTACGACGCAGAGAATTAGAGAAAACTAAAGAGAGGAAAGAATGAAAAAGATCGATATCGTTTAATCTTCTCGATTCACGAACGACTTTTTTTTTCTTTTTTTTTTTTAATTTATACGAGCCAAGGAAACAGAAAGGAACAAATTTGATCGAAGTGTGTGTGTGAGAGAGAGAGGTGTAAAATTCGAAGGATAGCGAGGAATAAGCAAAGAGATATATGGAGGAAAGGGGAGGAGGGAAAGGTTTCTCGATGCTGCAGGGTGGTTGCTCGTGAACGCCGCGTGGAAGTTGCAAATGGGGAAAGTTACGCAAAAGTAAGATCGGCTGAGTTGGCTGTAAGTAACCGATGGTTCGGCTCGCGAATGGTATGCCTTCGAAATTAACTCCTTTCCAATTGAAACTTTTTTCTTCACAGAGTTCCAAACAATTTTTCCGTCCATTTTTTTATTTTTTATTTTTTTTTTTACCCGCGTTTTAATTCCGTACGTTGTTTCCTAATATCCGTTAATTCCTCTTTCCTCTCCCCCCTCCCATCCTCTTTTCCCGTTTGTTTTCGGAACGTGAATTGATTCTTGTCGAGAGAGAGACGAAAACATCTCGAGTCAAGATCCGTTAAGAAGTTAACCCCTTTATTTACAAATCAAGTAGCGCATTATCGGCTAATTTCTCCTTTTCGCTCTATATTCTCGTTAATTGGACAAAACATCATTAAGAAGCATCATAGGTATCCGTTTATTCTTAGTTTATTTCTCTCGTAAAACGGTAAATTTTCGTTCGCATGAACATCTTTCGAACGTTCAACTGCCGATATTTATCGAAACAACGAATTAAATTTAATCGTTAATTTTTTTTCTAGATTTCGTTCGTTTCATTTCTCCTTTCATTTTTCACTCTATATTCTCGTCATCATTATAAATTTCCATTCACTCTTAGTTTATTTCTTTCGTAAAACAGTAAATTTTCATTCGAACGAAGATCTTTCGAACGTTCAACTGCCGATATTTATCGAAACAACGAATTAAATTTAATCGCTAATTTTTTTTCTAGATTTCATTCGTTCCATCGATCGATATCGATATCCTAGTCATCGATACAAATTTCCTTCCTATTTTTTCTCGAAGGATCGAGCGTGTTTGTTCGTAATCGATAATTATACATCGATATAAATTTCGTTGCTATTTTTTTCTCGAAGAATCGAACGTGTTTGTCCGTTGATTGATAATTATACATCGATATAAATTTCGTTGTTACTTTTTCTCGAAGGATCGAACGTATTTAATATACATTACCACGATCCACTATGAATTTAAACCTTGCGGCGATCGATGCTACTTATAATCGACGAGAGCGTTATAAGTAGAATCTGAATGAAAAATGGATTAGTCGAATCATTCCCTTTCCCTTCCCCTTTTCCCCTTCCGGAAAAACCCCCTTCCGAACGAGATACGTTTCCACTTGTGTTTAATCGACGGCTGATTTGTAGGGGCTTGAAGCGACACTGAGTGACAGCAAAAAGAAGTACGGCGACAAGGTGAATGCACTTCTGTCCGCCTGGGAGCATGTCACCAATTTCATTCCTGGGGCAACGCCAGAGGCCACCCAGTCTCTCATAGAATGGGCTCACAAGTGAGTATACTCGCGGATCGAACTCGCCAATACCCTTCTTTCGCCTTCCCGCTTTTTTTCCACAGGCACACGTTGAAATTGGTACTGCGCGGGGAGTGGCCCAAGTTGTCACCCGCGACGAAGACCCACCTCAGTGTAACGTTGCAGAGGTGCGCGTCCCACCTGGTGCAACACCCCGCTGCACCCTGGTGCACTGCCCTGATAGCTCTGGTGCACAATCCATGGACTCATCCAGCTCTCGACAGCATACTTAACGGCCAACCGGATTCCGAACATGAGGAGGGTAAATTTCCCTAAAGTTGTCATTCCATTAAAAAAAATCAAAAAATCTCCCCCAAGCCAGCTTTTCCAATAATAATCAGAATTCGATATCGACAGAATTCTGCTGTTCGGAGAAAGGTGAACTGCTTACAATGAGGCTGAAAATACTTTGCGAGGACCGCTGCGAGGACATAGCGGTTAACCTCGCCGCCGCCTGCGTACGTTCTCTCCGGCGAAGCGATCGGTTGCGCTCCCTGTCCGATTCACATCACGTTCATTACATGATCGACGTTTACATTGTCCTCTTGTATAAATTGAAACGCACGCAAGATATATTCGCTCAAGTGAGTACACAACTCCCTCCATCCGTTCACGCGCGCACGGGTTAGATCTACGGGTCCGTGGATCTACGGGTGATGATGCGAGATCTGTGCAAGATAGATCCTTTCCCCTTTCCCTTCCTCCTCCCCTTCCCCCTTTTTATTTTTTATTCTTATTTCTACTTTTGAACAATGAACAAGCACAGGATACAAGAATAGCGTGGATTTTTCAGTTAAAATTAATGGATCTAAGCGACGGATTGGAATTGGTCCAACGGCTCAGCGGCGAAAGACCTACCAAGTACGGAACCGCACGCGTTTGGAGAAATTCTATAAAAGCTGCCGAATTGGTTGCACAATATCTCGTTACAGCCGGTATGGTGAGGCCCGTGCCGGAAACGGGCGCCAACATTTTGGAACAGATTCTAAACTCTTGGGCATTATTGCATTCGAAATTGAAGGACGTTGAGCCCACGTTACCCGGGATGATAAGGAAGTTGATCGAGCCTGCCGAGAGCGCTCAACACATCTATATCTTTTGCGCGGTGCTCGTTAAACACGTAAGTGCATTTTTCTTCCTCCTCCTCCCCGCCCCGCCCCCCCGTCCCTGCCCCGCCCCCTGGTTTTCCCTCCGCCCCTCCCCCTCCGCCCCCCGGTTTTCCCTCCGCCCCTCCCCCTCGAAACCCGTTATCGCTCGAGATCGAAATCGAGGAAAACAGGGGGAAACGAAGGAGAAAAAAAGAGGTTTTATTTTTGTTTTTTTTTTCTTTTTTTTTTTTTTTTTTTTCTCTCTCTCTAATTACAGTTCGGCGACAGCGTAAAGACCCTGGTGATCGAATTGTACATAAGGGCGTTGACCACGGACATGAACGAATTGGAGAGTCAAAAAGCGAAGTCCGATACGGAAAAGGTCCGCGAGACAGCGAAACGTTTGAGCACGCAATTCCTTAAACTGGCCGACGTTGTTGGGAGCAATATCGGTATCGCTCGAGAATGCGTGCTGACGGCGTTCTCACTGCATCCGACCAGGGCTTGTTACGATAGGATTAAAGAGATCGCTGTCGCGTGCGGGAAAACGAGAGCGGATGGGACACAGGGCGATAACAGCGGCGTGGTGGTCGTTAACGAGAGATTTAAGCACGCTCTGGTGGAGGGCAATCATTCTAGCACGGGATCGATGATGATGATGAAAAGGATGATCGATAGTAGTAGCGGGGAGAGGAAGGACGAAACGGCGAGAGCCGCGGGCGCCGATTCACCGCCTACCGCTTTATGCAACTCTACTTCGTTGTTTTCAGTGTCGTCGCCCGCCTGCCCGGCCGCAACTGGTGTGGTAACGGCGTCGATGAAAAAAAGTAGCATCGACTTTCAGAACGGGCAAGTGAGCAAGAGCTTCGAGAGGACGGATCAATTGTTAAAGAGCCTTCTAACCGCGAAAAGGGGGGAGGCGATGATCGCGGGGAGCGACAGATGCCCGTTGCACCCGAGGAGGGACCCGTTGTCGAACGGCCCCCTCGGCGAGCTTTGCTTCAATTGCGGCGAGTTCACCGGGAACGATATTTCGAGGAGCAAAACGCCCGAGGCGAAACGCCCCTCGAGCCCCGGCGCGAGGAACGTGGAGAGAACTCTCGACGCCCTGATACTGATCAAGGGCGACGCCGTGACAGGGTCCGCGAACTACGACGAGAAATCGGTGCCTAATCAGGTGTTGGACGCGGAGAAGCTCGGCCTCTCCCCCCAACTTTGCGACGATTTGGCGGTGGTGCTGAGCAGCCCCCGTTACCACATGCTCAGCTGGGTCCTCGATTGGAAAGAGTTGAACAGCCTCTGCGAGAGATACTTGGAGAACGCCGAGGAGATGAGGAACACGAACAAAGAGTTGAAATACCTGAACATAGATTACTCCCAGTTCAAGGATTGGCCCTCGGAGGACGACACCAAGGATATATTTTTCGGGATCGAGAAAGGTTACGAGCAGTGGGTCGATCTACCGTCGGACAACTCGGAGCAGTTCGGGAGCTTTCAACCGGCTGGTAATTACAAGAGATCGTCGACGAGGAGGAGCCTCGACGACACCACCACCACGGACTCGGACAGTGGCAGCGTGCTGCGGATAAGAAGGACGGGAAGGCAGAGAAAGATCCACAGATTGGAATCGTCGGAGAGCGATTACGACAGCGCGGAGCGTAAACCGAAACACTTCAGGAACAGGGTTAGCTCGATGTCCGATTCCGACAGCAACACGCAGGACAGTCAAACGGACAGTTTGGGAAGCGACGGGTGCCGATTGGAGGTAAAGAAGAAGGTAGGCGGCAACAAGTCGTCGTCGGTCGGTAAAGAAGCGGGCAAGAAGCTACGCTCGAAGGGATCGAAGTTGACCGTCGACTCGGTATCGCATTTCCATATGCTCGTCAACGAGAACGTGCGGCACGCGAACACGAACGAGGACGCGAGCGGTTCGGACGTGAGCAGCAACGATATCATTACCTTGTTCTCGGCCGACATGGACGAGAACAAGCGCGAGACGATAAAGGGCTCGGCGTACACGGCGGCCGCCCCTTTGATCATCACCGAGAGGAGGAGCGATCCGGCGGTGCTGAAATCGTTGAGAATGTTCAGGCCGCAAAACTCGAAGAAACCGACGAGGATCTCCCAGATACTGCAAAAGAATCTTTTGAACAAGAGCAAAGACAATAATAATTTAGAGAATAGCGCGGCGAACAACGTGACGAAATTCGCGCCCATGCTGAGCACGTTGAACTTGAACCCGAAGATCGTGTTGACGAGGGCGGACGAGATCGACAGGAAGTTGATCCGGGCCAAGAAACAGCAACGATTGAGCAGCGGGGATATAACCAGCGAACTGATCAATATACAGAAAAACATGCCGTTCTCGCCCAACAAGAACACCTTGTCCACGTATCACCATCAGAAGCAAAAGGGGAACGGGGCGGCGATTATCGGTAAAACGGATTTGACGCCCGCCGACGGCCGGGATCTCAACTCGAAATCGAATTTGGGTAAACGAAAGTTCGACATTCTGGCCAAGGCTGTCAGGGACTCGGACATTTTGGCGAAGAACGTGCCGGGTTTGAACACGTTGGACATGATGGTGCCGCCGAGAATGCGACCCACGGTGAACGTCGTCCAACTTTCCAGAAACATTCCGCAAAGCCCGAACTCGGGCTCGGTGAACAGCGGCAATACACCTCCCAGGCCGAACAGAACGCCAAGCGTGGCCGGCAATATTCAGTTACCCGGCACTCCCTCCTCGGGGGGCCACGACAGTGGCGTAGGCATGAGTCCCGCCGGTCAAACCCCTCCACCGAGATCCTCCGTTCTTCCCGACGTCGGCGAAGAGACGAATCAACCGCCCGACAACTCGCCCACCTCTTCCACGACCACCAACGTTTCCGGCCAACTCGAGTCGGACTCGAGTCCTCGAACGATGCCGATCCAACGGCGAAACCAGCAGAGTCAATCGCCCAAGAAATCCCCGTCCCCGTGTTCCGCCGCTGTCGCGACAACGACCGCCGTCACTACCACCACGAGCTCCGGGATCTCCTCGACGAACATCGCGTCCGAACAGTTGCAGATTGTTTGCAAACCGGACGGTACGTACCAGTTGGCCTCCGTGAATCCGAACGTGGTATCCAATCAGAGGAACGTTCTCAATCTACAAAATATCGAGGACGGAGGAGGAGGAGGAGGAGGAGGAGGATCCAATTTTTCACGGCAAAATCAGAGAGGCGAGAACGGCGGGAACGGCAGGAACACGTACGAGAGATTGACGAAAGGAGGCGCGCAAAATTCCGGGCAGAACGCAGGCTTGCCGAAATTTCAACAGGCCTTCGGTAAAACTATATACACGCTTTCCACCGACTCGTCGAGCGCGAGCGGCGTGGCGACAGGTGGCGCCGCCTCGGCGGAAACTCTGGTACAATCGGTCTCTCCCCAAAAGACGACTAACCTCTCGAAAGCTGTTCAAACGTCGGTGCCCAACGCGCAACAGGCGAGCCCGTCTACGGGGATAAACGTGCAATCCATCGCGAACATTCCAAACACGTTGCAATTATCGACCACGAGTAGACAGATATTGAATATCGTTCAAAGCTCTGGGAATAACGCGAATGTGGTGGCGACCAGCCCGAACGCGAGTCAAACGTTGACGCAGTTGGTGCAAAGTGTTCAGAACGCCTCCCCCGGTGTCATATACACGCACAAAATCCCCGTCACTATATCGACCACGAATCCAAGCCAGTTGAACATCATTCCTACGATATCGCACGCGAATTCGATACCGACCGGAAGGACACCTGTGGTCAAATTGAACATCATTCGAGCTCCTTTGAGGCAACAGAATATCACGGGAGCTATACAAGCCGTGCTCACCACACCGAGATTGCAACAACAGCAGCAACAACAGCAACAGCAACAGTCCACGGTTCGAACGGACAGTTTGCTCGGTTCCCCCATAGAGGTGCCGAATCAAGTGAGTTCGACCACTTTGGAACAATTAAGAGAGTTCGAGAGCGTGTTGGAACAGGTGAAGGAAAGGAGCACGATTCAACCGCAGTCCCATCAAACGATATCCACCTCGCCCACCACCACCGTACAAACGCAAACGACCACCCAACAACAGCAGCAGCAGCAACAACAACAACAACAGCAACAGCAGCAACAAACTCAAGCTGGAAAACAGCAGCAAGTGTCCGTGAGCGCGTTAGCCCAGCAACTGTTAATGCCAACGCAGCAAACCGGAGGGGCAACGGGTAACGAGTTCACGAGCAACGGTAACGCGACGGTGAATTTCCAACAGGACGTTTTCTCTCAAAAAGTGTCGCTCGCGTACGTGAATCAGAACGCGGGTTCTGCGGTTTCGAAGACACCCAACTCGACACCGGTCGTGGTCGTGACGAGTTACTGTCAACCTGCCGCCTCCCCCGCGTTGAGCGTCACCTCCCAAAGCTCCTCCAGTCCCTGCGTGACACCCGCCCCGGCCCCCATACCCCCGGCCGGCAAAACACCGCCTACCCCGCCCTCCTCGAAAACGGTGAAGAAAGCGGCGCCAAAAACGGTGAAAACTAGCGCGACCAACACATCGAAGTCGTCCCCGATACCGAAACCTCAACAGAAACCGCAGGAGGACGAGCAAACCGCGCAAAGGATTTACGCGATTTTGGACGAGTACGCGGAGCAATTGCGCAACTCGCCCGATCTGAACAACAAACCCGCGCCAAGGAGGAGGTCGAACCCGCCCACGAATCCCAGCCAATCATCGAAGAGGAAGAAGTCGAGCGCGAGCAAGGCGAAGTCGGTGGGCGGGCAGCAGAATTCGGAGCTGAGCCCGAGCACGGACGATCTCGGCAGGACTATGGGCAGCGAGGACTCGTCGAGCGGGGTGGTGCACGTGCAGGACAGCCCCGCCGGTTTCCCCGCCCCCGTCGAGGAACCGTCCCCCAACGTCGGGAGCGCCGCGACCGAGGCGGTTGGCGCCGCGGCCGAGGTTCGAAATCTTGCCAACGACTCGAACGACGGGGTCGAGGTGAGCGTGAAGAGACGGAATTTGATCTTCGCCGAGCCGGGACCGGGCCAGCCGAGAGCGGTCATCGTGCAGGAGGCGGTGCAGGCCGGTTCCGTGTCGGTGAGCGAGGCCCTCGCCTCGGTGACGGGCAAGATGGGCAGCACGGCCGTCCTCGTCCCCGGCCCCAACTACATCCTTCCCATGAACCTCGTGAAAGGAGGCCAACAATTCACGATAGTGTCGAGCGGATCCAAGCTGCTCGCCACCGTTCCAGCGACCGTGCGCGCGACCGGGAACGCGGCCGTTTCCAACACGTTGGTGCTCCAGTCGTTCCTCAACCAGGCGGGCAAGATAATCTCGCAGCCGGCGCAGGTGAAACAGGTGAAGATACCCACGTTGCAGACGTTGTCCGGGAGCCAGGCGTCGTTGGCCGGGGCGCAGAACGTTCAGGGGACGACGTCGGTGGTGATACCCCAGGGGACGGGGGGGAATCATCACGGCCAGTTCACGGGGGAAGGGGTGGTGGCGGCGGAGAAGGGCAACGTGATAGGTGGGGACCTGGCCGCGGCGAAAACCGACGCTGTCGAATCCGGAGGGGGGAACGCGATCGTCGTCAACAAAGGGAACTCGGCGATCGGGCTGATTCAGCGTAACTTGAGCGAGGGTGGGGAGGGAGGCCAACCGATCTGCGGCGTGATCACCAGCAATCCAAATTTGACCCTTCAAGGGGCCAGATTGTTCAACTCGTCCATACACAAATTGGCCAGCCCTGGACTGAAGTCTGAGAACGTGGTGTGCATCACGCCGACGGCGACGATCGCGCAGCACAGCCCAGAGAAGAGCAACCAACAATCCCCTCAGGAGGGACAAATTCACAACGACAAACACGTGTCCATCCAAACGGGTGCGACGATCGCCCTCGCGTTCGCCACGCAATCGGACGTTTCTTTGTTGAACGACGCGTCTCAGCAACAGCAACACCACCACCACCATCATCATCATCATCAGCATCATCAGCAACAGCAAAAGGACACGAAGGAAGCGTCGACTGAGATCATCCCTGGTGCCAAGATCATCTCCCCGAAGACGGTGAAAAGAAAAATGGACGACGCAATGGGTACGTAAGCGAATCTCGAAGAGTCTTGGCGAGCGAAAAATTTTAATTTTAATCTATGACATGTATGACGTATAACGCTTTCTTTTCGCAGATTCGATGTCAACGATAACGACGGTTGGAAGCAAGCAGAGCGGAGGGATCGATGGGACGACGCAATTTCTGGTTACTGGCGGGCCGAGCAGCTCCGACAGTCAAGAGTCTTCCTCCGTACAACAGTCGAGCGAGGGTATCGAGGTTTCGTGCAAAGTTGGAAACGGTTTGTTATACGGGAACGCGAGGTTGCAAGAGGCCTGGGAGCCAGAGGGCAAGGTGTCGCCCGACACTCCTTGGCGATACGTGCCCACGTCCACGAATTCTTTGAGCATAGACCCGTTGAACTCGAGGTACTCGGACAACTCGGAGAACGTGCAGAGCGTTCTACAGATCATAAACAAGGGGCAGGGGATCGAGATGTCCGGCGGGCAGATATATCAGACGAACGCGAAAAAATACTTTATGAATCACACTCTGGAACCGTTTCAACAGTACGCGAATAAGAGCAACGTGATGAAAACGCCTTTGAATCCCAGGTTGGATAGGGAGTTGTTGCAACAGAAGATGGAGAGGAAGGCGGCCGCTATGGAACGGGAGATGAAGCTGCAGAAGAGTTTGTCGGAGGAGTGCGAGGATTTGGGCGTGGACGAGCCTAGCACGAGCGACCTGTTCCCGGAGGCGGATCTGCTATTCGACACGAATCACTCGCCTTCCTTCGACCACTCGTCCCAAGACGCGTCCTGCAGCCAACCGCTGGGCATGAAATCGTACGGCGCCTCCTACTTTCGCTCCTTGGATTCGTCGAGCGGGAGCAGGGACGCCAGCCCTGTGGCCGACTTCAAAGTGAACGAGCGGAGGAAGAGTGGGGGGCAGAGGGGCAGGTCGGCGAAGGATTCCGCGAAGCGGTCGAGGCGGGAGAAGAGGGGCGGAGGGGGAGTGGAGGAATTACAGTTGGAAAATCCCGCGAAACACATGCGATTAACGTTGGAGAGTTTGAGCCAGGACGAAGCGTCGAACAGTAATTCCGATATGTCGAGATTATCACCGACCAATTTGGCCTCGTTGGAGAACGACTCGTTGAAGGATAGAGGGAAGATCGCGTCGAGGAACGGCTCGAAGGAGGGCTCGCCCAGCAGCGTGTCGAGTATACCCTCGAACATGAAGTTGGACATCGATCTGGATTCGGAATCGTTACCGCCTAGCATCAATGTAAACAACGCGTCGGCAGCTAGCTCCGGGGACGAAAGCTTGACCTTGCTCAGCAGTAACACGGCGGACGTGACTATACCCTCCCCACTCTCGCCCATCGCTGGCCCCATGTTGTCGACGCACAAGTACACGTACACCAACAAGAAACGGATCGCGTCTAAGGTTACGAGAATGGATTACCTGTCTTGGGAGAGCCCGATGTCCGAGAGGACGAGGTCGAGCAGCGACGAGGAGGATAATTCGAGCATAAGCGAATCGATCGGCAGCCAACCGGAGGAGAACGCCCTGAGCAACGGGCTCGAGGACAGCGTGCAAAGTCTCAAGTCCCTGTCGAACGAGCGGCGTTGCAATTATTTGAAAAAGAAAGATAAGTTACAGGTGAACGCGAGGGTGGTATTGAATCGGGCGGATCACAAGGGTGGTCTGTCGAAACGAATTAAGGTGTCGAGCGAGTCGATCCAAGATTCGGTTATGGTTTCCAGTGATAAGGCGTCCGAGCCGTCCGACGACGAAACGGGGAATATCGCTTTGGTCGAGCCGGACTGTCGGGCTAGACGATCGAGTTTGCGTGGCCACGTTAAGAAAGGATGCGCCTGTTGCAACGGTTCCCCGGAGAGACCTAAAAAGAAGTCGGTCAAATCCGATCATCCGAGGTTAAAGAAACGATTGTCGTCGAAACAGGCCGGCAAGAAAAGGTAGTCCTAGCGTTCGAACGCTCGACGGAGCATCGCGTGTTCGATCTTCATAATGCTGTATGCTTTTATCCCTCGTGGACGCGGTTCGTCCAGCGACGAAGGAGCTTCCAAAACGTATCCGGGCGTATCCTTGTTACTATGCCGTACGAAAAACTTAGAATTCATAGCCGGAAAGCTGAATCGCAAATAGATTTCGCAAATTCGAATCGAAGAACGATGAGAAACACGCGAATCGTTGAATTTGTGCGTGTGTATATATATATATATATATAATATATATAAATATATATAAAATATATATATATTATATATATTAGTCGATATATGTATGAGGTTGTTGAAACAAACTTTTACGATATAAGTCGGAAATGCCTATCCTCGTATATTAGGCAAGATATAAGTTAATTCGCAAGTTCTTCGTTCAGTATGAACTTGATTTATCAGAGACGGAGAAAGAGGAAAGAGAGGGGGGAAGAGAAAGAGAGGGAGAACGAAGGAACGATTGTTCTATTAACGATTCTCGACAACAGTAGGTCATCCTCTTACCACTAGATGTTATTGTAATACTAGATGTAAGATGAAAATTATAATGAATGGCAGATTTAGATTAAATCGTTAAGGATATTAGAGACGCAATCTAGTCAAAAGATAAGGTTTACGGCGAGGAATAGGCGTGTTTTCGAAAAACAGTAAGAGAGAGAGAGAGAGAGAGAGAGAGAGAGAGAGAGAGAGAGAGTAAGCGAGATAGCATCAGCGCGAGAAAGGAGAAAAAAAAGTGTAAATGATGAGAGAAGGAATTTAGTAAGAAAAGGAAGAAAAAAATAAGAATAGAACGTATCCGACTGTCGATAGATCCCTCGCAGACTAAAGAATTTATAATTAAAAGCCTGAATTCATAATTTCTGTCTACTGTATCTATTATGATGATACTACGTTCTACGTTCTTTTACATGGTATGGTCAGACTGAATAGACGAATTAATATCTATAGATCTCGTTTGGTGAATTAACGTAGCGAGATGTGCATTGAATTCTTTGCCTTTTGCATAAAGTTCTCGATAACTTAGTATCTTAATCTCTAAATCAAGATAATCCTTGTAAATTAATAATGTCGTAATATACCTTATGATACCAACAAGAGAGAGTGGCGAGAGAGACGATTGAACGGATTAATGGCAAAAAAAAGAATAAAATAAACAAATAAATAAAGGTGAAGATATTTGAAAAGAAAGAAGAAAGAAAATATCGAGAAAAGGACGTATAAAATGAAACAAAAAAAAAATATATATGTAATTAAGAGCAACATTGTGTGACGGGCCGACCATACCTTGTTGTCACGGTGCATGTAAAAAAAAAAGAAAAAAAAAAAAAAAAAAGGTATCCAAAAAGAAAAAAACTGTACATTACGTAGATAATTCATTAAAAGTATAGTATTATATCGCTGCACTTTAGTACAAAATCGCTTCACCTTGTTTCAGAATGACAAGTTTATATCATCTTTCGGTGTGCTGTCGTGACGCGTGAATGCCTGCAATTTATTACAAACTATAAACAAAGAAGAAATTCTTGTAAAGGTTGTATAATTAAGCCATGAAACACTTATAAATTTCCGTACGTTTCTTTCGCACCTTCATCATGGGGTGATTGGAAATTTTCCACATAAAGAGTAGAACTCGTTAATCGAAGCGTTTAATGTGTTACCTCTGGCGCAAAAACTAAGGATTAAGGATGTTGAAAAGTAATGTTCCTGTGAATAGTCTCATTTCGTGATACGAACCAAAGTGATTCCGTTTAGAAGCAAAAAAAAAAAAAAAA